AACCAGCTGTCCTCTCCCATAAAAGCCACCTTTTTTCTCTCTCGGCTTCTTGTGTTATGTCTAAGTCTGGAGGTTCAAATGACCAGTTTTGCAGCGCGAGTTTGGACCCGCGGTTGAACAAATACAAGGGTCTAACTTTTTAAGAACCCAAAGGCAGAAACTCGCCTAGTTTTGTGAAGGCGTTTTCCTCCCAAATAGAGGCATTGGACGTGTGAAACATATCCATTTCTGCTCGTGTTCAAAAGCCTTTCCATTGTGCACGAACTGACCCCAAATGACTATTTTATTCGGTTACTGTAGTCAGTCGCTTTACTCGAAGTCAACACTCTACAAGAATTCAGTTGCTGCAATTACAACAGTCAGACTATACCACGGGATAAGGGCAACCTTATTCAAAACCAACACCCAATTATCTGAAGGTGCAGATAAACTGGCTACAAGGAACTTAGATGTTGTTTCCTTTGTAGCTAAAATCACCTACAATTTTAACTTTCTCTATGTAGCCGCGCCGACCTCTCGTTTAGTTAGTGTTCACCCCAAACCCAAACCGCACAATAAAAGTTATCTAAAAAAGAGATGGGAGATTACAACGCTATATATTTATATATAAATATATATATATAAAAAAACACACACACATACAAACCTTTCTCGGATTTGAACCGTTTGCTATGAGAAGACATGCTCGATATCGAGAGCGTTTGCAAGGAATCCTTTTTCTTTTTTGTTAAGAAAAATGCACTCAAACACGCGGTTGAGGCGCGGACTTTCAGAGACCCAGAGACTGAGGTACAAATGCCACACTTCCTCGCAACCCACAGCCCTGATTACAGCTCAATGGAACCAGTCAGCGGGCTCCTGGCTTCCAACCGGGGGAAGGGGGTGTGTGGGTGGATCCTATTAAACTATAAATATACACATAAACCCCGAAGAAATAACCTCAACCCCCCCAAACGTGGTAAAGATGCTTATTTTGGAGTAACATTTTTATTCATCAATCCGCGTTTCAGCGTTTCACCTCAAAGCTCAACTCATTCCTTGGCTGATCTAATTCACGTTGGAGAACAGACTTCAAGGTCCTTGTACTTGTATTCCATTATCGCCAATATCGTGGGTGTTCCTCCAGTACTTAAACATTCCCAATAGCCTCCGATATAAGACAGAATACTCTTACCCGTGTCTCACTGTCAACTTAAAATAGTTAAGCATTCAGAAAAAAGAGCGAAAATAAAACTACCTCTAACTAAACTCCCTTTGTGAACCGCCAATGTAATCGGTGATGATATTCAACTGTCCCTAAATGGCGTTGTTAAAAACGCGATTGTGTACTTGAAATGTCCAAACTATTTTCTCCACCAAACTGGCTCGGGGTGCGTGCAGAGAGAGAGAGAGAAAGTTTACAACAACTTCTAACGCAAAGTTGTAAGATTGTTAAGGCACCCCCCCCCCCTTTATATACATTTGTTAATGTGTGTTTTTTCTTTGAGCAGAAGGCATTCATTCTCGCAAGGGCAGGCGGCTGGTTTGGAAGAAGAAAATGGTCCCCCCGCACCCCCTCCACACACACACAGAAAAAACCTACCCTTATCATATCCAATAGTGAGTGATCTCCTTTATACAACCATATTCCACATATAAATCATGCCTTTATACACAACCCTATTATATATATGGTTCGCTCTCTAAATATATATATGCTTTATACACACACACACACACATATATATACATAGGTGACGAGACATCATGCTAAACTACCCTATTATCTAAAAAAGTCATAATTTCAAAAGTCAAAGTCGTATCACGACTTTTTGGTCTTCCTGTAAAGAGAGAGAGAGACATCTCCTTTATCCACTAGAAATAGAGTACCGAGAACAGAAGGAAGGAAGCGAGGAAACACTTACCCGAGTGTCCGTGCACCGACACTGGAGAGGAGAGGTACTTCCCGGGGGGGAGGTGGGAGCCGAGGCTGGAGCTGATGTGAGCGGCTGAAGGAGCTATCCGCCCGGCAGGAGCGCCGACCCTGTGCGCCTCCATGCCCAGCCCCGACAGCAGATGGGCCGGCACATGAACTGCTCGATGGTGGCCGAAATCTCTCCCATCCATAATCGGCCCAAGCGATTCTTTTAATTATGTATATATATATATATATATATATATATCCCCCCTCTTCAAATTCGAGCGACTAGACAGTCCCAATATTTACAATCGTGCCCGGCTTGCTTTGATCCATCCTCAAGGACATCTGTGTAACAAAGAGAGAAAAAGGGTGCATTTTACTTCCATTATATGAAATCTTATTTTAAAAAAGAACGCCTTTATTTGGTGAATTTCCACGAGACATTTCAGAGTTTGAACTGCATACACACACACCGACATTACTTAACTTCACTTTTTTGTATATAAATCATAAATATTCACCATTAACATTTGTATTTCATAGCCACAAACGCATAAGGAATATATTCCCCTTTTCTTTGAGGATCCGATGCGTCTTTTCACTTGAAAATGTCTGTTTTTAAGCAAAGCCTTGCGATTCAAGGGGTTGGGGGGTGTGTGTGTGGTTGTAGGGAGTTCTGTCTGCTATGTTAGTCTCAAAACCTCACCGTGTTTCAAACTATTTATAACCAACCCTCCTTACCTTTCGTTTGGGTTTTTCTTTCTCAAAATCCCATCTCAAATCGCCTTTCAGATTCTCACGAAAGTGTAATGTTAGTAAGAGCTTAAAATGCAGAGCAAGCAAGCATTCATTTTCAACACATCATCCACCGATTTAAAACACACACACACACACAAAAAGGCATTGAAAATCAGGCCAAGGTTGTTTAGAATGATCTGACTGTTTCCCTCTCTCTCTCTGTCTCTCTATCTTCCTCTCCAACCCGCCCCCTATTCATTGACTGCAGGGGTTGCAATCTCCTTGCTCTGTTGTGTGTTTGTGCACAGACTGAAGGATTTAAACTGCTGGCAAACAGCGAAAAAAATTAAAAGCAACAGAAATATAAACGCGAGCCTCTCTCTCTGCCTCTCTCTGCATTAAAGTAACTGAGTTTTTTTAAAAAGAGACGTGGAAATGTTGCTGTGCAATGAACACAAAAATGCTGTTTTTTTATATTAAAATAAGGATTATTTCATTGATTCGCGTTCAATATGTCTACATTAAAAGACAACCGATAAGTATAAACAAACCCTGTTTTAGAGATTGCTACATGTATGGTTTATATTAAAGCCTTTTTACCGCAGTTCTGCTTGTGGGACCGGAGTTGATTAAAAAGAAACATTTATTCCCTCGTTAACTAGTTAATCCACCTCAATTCCCTCATCTTTTTCACATACAATCGACCTATTCAAGTTACCCATTAATGGCATATTGTAGCCTTTCCTCTATGATTTTCCCAGCTTCTTTCTTTTTTGGGTGGGGAGAGGGAATTCCCAAGTTCATTCACACAAAATAATGCTCCTTTCCCAACAAAGTGCCTCGACTTGCTTGAAAAATGATACAAGCAATGTATTCTAAAACGCGAATTAAATTAAATCAAACCATCTTCTGACCGGGCTCCTAGCATCGTGTCCAAAATAAAAGTGTGCCAAGGAAAACAACACAGTCAATAAAATATCTTCTTAGATCCAGACATTTTTATTGCTTATGGAAAGGGGGCTGCCATACATTTGCCAGTTGAATCCTTTAAGTAAAAGATCCCTTGATTCCTCTCTCCTCTGGCAACGGCCAGCCAATGTAACCATGGAATGGCTTAAATCCTGATTTTAATTAAAAACAGCCATTTGCTCAGTCCAACTCCACATCGCTCCTCCAGGTTTGGACAAAATGGAACTTACCCAGGTTTTTTATTATTAAAAAAATGTTAAAAACTCCTCACGCGTTTGTCTACATTAAGATTTTTTTAAAAACACACACACACATCCCACTCACTGTTTTGATTTGTTTTTAAAAAAGAGAGCGGGGGTGTGGGGGGGGTGTGGGGGGGATAAGCGAGGGAGAGAGAGAGAGAGAGAAAGGAGAAACGTGAGACTTTTTCGACAGCTAAGACGCAAACAGCGATCCTGGGATTTCAGGGAACATTTACAAAAACAAGGTCTGGTCTAACCTCACTGGAGCACAGCGGTGGTCAGAGCAGCTTCCTTTCCACTACAAAAAAATATACCCCAAAGAATTGCACCTCAACGTCTTGTCGGGTTCCAGAAAACCCCACTTTCTCAGAAAACCGAGGGCAAAACGCGCCCACCACCGCTCCCCTTGGGTACGCGCGCCCTCCCCACTTACTTTTTCTTTAACAGCTCAAAACGCGCCTTGGCAGAGCCCAGCGCTGTGCTGCTTCTTACTACACTGCACAAGGTTGGATGTTGTGTGTGTGTGAGTGTGTGTGTGTGGAAAGCGAAACTTTTTTTTGTGTACTTACATTTTATGGACGATCCGGGAGTCTGAGTAAAAGTTTCTCCCCGGGTGTGTGTTTGTTTTAAGTCCGGGCTGTGGGTGAGGGCGGCAGATTGCGAGTCCGCCATACAGAAAGCAAAACACAATCCCCCCAATTCCACCCCAGCTTGTCTTCCCAAACTCGCTGTTTTTTTTCGCCAAGAAACACACATTGTTTGGCCATTGCCTGTCTGCTGCCAGTCAAGCCGTGTCAATACGCCCGGCATTGGCTGCCGCGCCCGCCCATCACTGGCCGGGACCGCGCCTCCCGCGGGCCTTGGGCCAACTCCACCCTGGAAACCCAATTACAGAGGACGGGCGGCAGAGGTTTCAAGGCCCCCCCTTTTTGCACAGCACTGAACGATTACAATAGCGATCAGAGTGTTGCTGTTTCAAGGCTCCCCATTCCCATTCCACTCTGAATGATCAAAATAGTAGTAAGAACCTTGGGGGGAGTTTCAAGTCCCCCCCCCGCCCGTCCTCCACACTTTCCTGCCAGTTGGTCCCATGCGTTGGCAAGGCGGTTTCAAGACCCCCCTCCCCCCCGGCTCCCTTAACACCAGGAAAGGAGACTAAAATAGTAATGAGATGCCCTGTGCGCCAGGGGAACACAGGCGGCTGAATGTTTGGAAGGAGCTCATCTGAATATCTCCCAGGCACAATCGCGCCCTCGAATGAAAGGAAAGCAACTTCTTAGAGGACTCATCAACGTTGTGTTTGTCTCAAATTGGCGACAGGATCGAAAAAAAACAGAGAGAGAGAGAGAGAGAAAGACAGAGAGAGAGGGGGAGGGGGACAGGGGAGAGATAATTAATGCGGATTGACTGATGGCAACAGCAGAAATGCAGAAGATTGTGAATGATCAATGGAGCAGTAATGACTGACAGCTTCCCTCCAACTTGTTTTCTATTATTTTCTCTTCTAAATGGGGAAAGCGTGGCTAGATATATATTTTTCTTTTTTCTCTAAATGTTACATTCCATCAACTGATCATTAATGACCGCGTCAGACTCCGTGATGTTGTGAATCGGCGATTCTTTTAAGAATACTTTTTTTAAGCCGAGACTGTTTTTTCCTCTCTCTCTCTCCCCCCCTTCCTGATTTTTGTACAGAGTTTTAATCAGATATTTTTTAAAATATATATACAAGGCAAGGATGCCACGGCAGATGTAAATCTGATTGGGTATGTATACAATAAATCACCTAATTCAATAATAACACGCTGTGTATGTGCATGTCGTTATTTTGTGTGTGTGTGTGTTTGCGAGGGCGTCAAGAATAATACGAAATTTATTTAGTATTGAAACGAAATGTGGAGCTGTTCATTGTTTTCTCTCTTGCAATGTAATCAAAGTCCGTGTGTGTCTGTCTGATCCTACCAGCGAGCGAGCGAACCCTCTATAACAGCTGCCCAACTCTGGTTCCAAAGATATCGATGACAAATGGTACTGTATCCGTGTGATTTAATCTTTTTTAATATATATATAAAATACACACACACACACACACTACGTGCTTGGTGTGTTGGAAGCCATATTGGAGAGTTGGGTGGCGAAGGACAAACAGCAGGCTACAAGGTTACTGAGCTATATTTATTGTGGTGTATGCATGCTATTTTGTTTCATGGCCAGCTATCTTGTTATAGCTTTGCCCTTGAGAGTGAATGAATGAAGGCTTTTTTTTATTTGGGAAATGTAACTACGGTAAATAACAAGTTGCAGCTTGTGTGACAAGCGTTCGATGTGAGTTACAGTTGTGCGAGCAAATTTATTCCCCCCCCCCCATTTCGTTTTCCCTGGCAGGCATTAATAACACGTGGCTGGTAGGCAGGGGGGGAGAGAGAGACAGAGAGGGACAGAAAGAAAGAGAGAGATGTAGGTTCATTGGGAGGGGGGACTCACAAAGCTCGAACCTGGACCGGTTTACACAGCAGGAAATCTCCCCGAAATAGCTTTCTCTCTTCCCCCCCAAAACAAAACGAAATCAAAGTAGCGATAGATTAAATGGAAAATTGGGGAAAAGTCAGGGATGGATCATGGTTTTTTTCCACCCCAGACAAGAACATCAGATGGTTATCGATAGAAAATAGGAAAGGTCGGTAAGCCCCAAGTCTCCAACTCCCGCCACACACACAAAGACATTGGTTTACAGACCGACTGGAAGAAGTAGCAGCACAGACGGGTAGAGCTTTGCCAAAGGAAACACGGAGGTGACATTATCTCACGCTTTAAGGCTCCTCTAACATAAATAGCCATGGATGTAGTTTTGATTTCAGGACGACGCAAATACGGAGAGGAAGGGAAGGGGGTTAAGCGTTTTTTTTTAAAACGAGATGAATCAGAGGCGAAATGGACATTGTGGTTGAATGCTGAGTGGAAGGAAATACTTTTTTAAAAAAACTTCTCTTCTCCCTCACCCACACGACCACACATACATAACACACATCCCCCACCCCACTCAGCCATTATCTACATACACAACCTTTTGGGAAAGTTGGGTTGATCCAGCGACTGTACAAAAGGTAAGAGGGATCAACTGGATTCCTAGCCAATGCTGTCTTGCTATCTATCAATGAAGGAGCTCTGAGATTACTTCATACAAGGTTCTCAGGAACTATTATTTAAATTTATTTAAGCGTTTTCGGGGTAAATCGCCGAAGTTTTAGACGCCTACATTTTGCTCATACTATAATTACTTTTCCCTCTTTTTAAATAAAAAATCCTTTCAGGAGCCCTTTGTTAAAGGGATTCATGCGTTTTCACTCGTTGGGCACATAAAAAATCGGCGGAAAAAAAAACTAGATGGTGGTGGCAAATAATCGTAAAGCTCTCGAGTTCCTGCTATTTCATCTCGAGCATTTTAAAATGTAGTTACATCGCATCGCAGCGGTGTGTTTGCTGACAGCCCGGGTATAGATCATTAGTTAGTTGATTGATTTTTGAATGTATAAAAGCGACAAGGGCTGCAGAGGGAGAATGGGGCGGTGTGGGTTTAATACCGAGATTAAATGTGGGAATGTTTTAAAATAAACACATCTGTACTGAGAGAACCACTTATTAAAGTGCAGCCGAGAGCAAATCTGCTTTATTAAAATAATTATGCAAGATATTGTATTTTCCCCCAAAATAAAATGGTTCAAACCTATCTCACAGTGCAAACAACTCATGTCCTTGAACACCCACCCCCCCCCCCCCCCCACACACACACACACACACAAACACACCGCAGTCCATAAAGCAAATACAAGCAAGTAAAAGGGTGAATTAATGTAAACATAAAATGTTCTCTGAAGGCGATATGGTCATGCGAAAGGAATGCCTTTTTTTTATATGTATTTAAAAAAAGCCTTATGTAAACAGACTCAATGACTCCTAGGATATTGCCCATAAGCAGCTGAACTCGAATCCAATATATTGCACTAATAGAATGGTTCCTTGATGTGACTCGAGTGCGTGATGCTTGCTATAAAACATTGTGGAAGACATTTCATGGGAGTCAGTCAGTTCAGTGCATGCGAGCCGTCCATTTCATTGATGGAGTGATGGGCCATATTTCTAACAGAATATTACAGCGTTCGCTCTAAGGTTCGGCCAATTGGAAGGTTCCCAAAAAAATGCAATGTGTTTAACGTTAGTCACATTATTTTCCTGCAATGTACAATCTTGCGTTATCCCCCCCCCCCCACCAGACAGTAAAAGTACAGGGATATTTGGAAGGAAAAGTAGTTTTTTTTTAATAAAAAATGATCTACATTTAGAATACTTTCAGATAAGCATTAGCGCGGGACCGTTAAAATTGGAAATAGAAAACATTTCCTTTTTTAAAGCAATCGGTTAATTGACACCATCTGTTTTTCAACTCGAATTTTATATCTAAATATATACAGTATTAAAAAGGGTACGTTGTAATGGGAAGGAGGGGGGAGCTTAAAAAATACGATGATCGTATTATTCTGAGACACGGTTTAATAACATATTTAGAACACCTTGAAAAGAAATGGGCTAAATACCAATATTGAGTCGTTGTTTTAGTAAATACTATATTTGATAGCTAGTGTACATGACTAACCTGGACTACAATAACCAGAGGTGTAAGTAATAAAAGGTGGAGCTCGATACATACCAATATAAATTGATAAGATCACGTGTGGTAGTTTGTGTGTGTGACAAAACATTTTTTTTAACGCCACAGTCACTTGGGTCACAAACAGTCAAATGTGGGAATCCGAGTGAAGGAATTATACCGTGAGGCTGCGGTGGGTATAAAAGGCACCTTTCAATGATCCATCCATTCTGGGCTGAACCCAAATCCTAAGGAACTTTAACTGTCGCAGCTTAATAATGTAAAGTTATGTTTTTTTAAAAAAAGGGTGAGAAAAACAAAGTATTTTTTCCCCTCTCAAACCCCCCTCCTTGCTTTCTGTGTGCAGGGCGAGGCTAGGAACCCAGGTCACTTCACATCTAAAGCAGTCAATAGAAACTTTGCATCAAACTGTACTGTGATTGTGGTGGTGTTGAGAGGAGAGGGGAAAAGGGGGAGGAATTGCATTTGCGTACATCTATCTATTCAGTAACCTTGGGATGCAATCGATGCTGTGTACTTTGCACCGTTTAGATTTGCCAAGGCAAACGTAATATTTTCTTTCATATGCATGCGCTCATTGATTTGGGTCAGATAATTTTCCCCGGATATTTGCATGGCGAACAGTTAGTTCATCACAAAAGCTGGAGATCAGAGGTGCGGCATGGCAATAAATCTCACAGGGCTGACCACAGTAAATTATGTCAGGGCGTTGCTCTATTCCACTATCTATTTGTCATGGTCTAAGGTACTATACAATCGATATACATTAAAACACTAACTGCATGTTTGCACCCTTCAGCATATTTGGGATTATGGGGAGTGGGGGGGGGGGGGGGGGGGGGGGGGGGGGAGGACCATTAGCCAAAAAACGAAATATAATAAATTGGATATGTGTTAGTTGCTAAGGGAAATCTTAACAGAATGCAACTTAATTTTGCAACACATTAATCAACTAGCTGTTTTGTGCAGGTTAGTGTGAAAGTATCTCGGCATTCATCCAGATTCACCCCCGCAACATGTAGGGAGGCATTAAAAATATATATATCAATATCGACCATTATCACAGACTGTCTCTCTCTGTCTTCCTATTTCTCACTCGCTCTCTCTTTGCCTTTCTCTCTCTCTCTCTCATACGCACGTTACTTGGTATACTGTGATATACAAATGCCCTTTCTGCACACAAAAGGGCAGAGGATTAAATGGTACTTTTTGAGATTGGAATATTTTTGCCTATGGTTCCTTCACATCCAATTAATGAGAGTTGACGAAATGAAGCGCGTTTCAGAATTGCTGCGTTAGTTACAGTGAAGGAAACTGTGCAATAGATTGGGATAATGTAACGTTTACAGCAGTCCACACACACCAACCATTAACCCATTGATAATCTTTAACCTGGAGGTTTTCGATACAGTCAGTTACAGCAAAGAGATGCGTTAACAAACTTTTTGGATATAATAATATTTATTATGAATGATAATAATTTTGGTGGGAAGACGGTGCGTTGACACTTTGACTCGCGTGTTGGGAGCAGTCCACAGCAAAAGGGAAAGTAAAGAACAGCCAGCACGTGTGAAAGTTGGCACAAGCTTATGATATGAGCGCATGATATTTTATGATCTGCATACGAGGAGTTAGAAGGGAAAGCGCTACAGCTACAGAGGGTGTGTGTGTATGTGGTGGTGGGGGGGGGGGGGGGGGGAGTGGGGGGGGGCCGCAATTTGAATAACGACTAAAACGAGCTCACTATTTGGATTCTGGCAGATTCGCTTAATGCGGTGGCATGACCCTAAGCCCATTGCCTCGGCTGTTGCCAAAGAAATAGAGAGACTGCGAGACTCGAACATTTACCCCTTTTCAGGCCATTGAACACACTTCGCGTCTTTTTAAAATCCTTAATATTCCTTTATGTCCCGCGTTGGTTGTGTGGATAGGGTGATGTTTAAGGTAAATTGGGTCGAAATAGCCTGACTGTAGTATTCCATCCTTTAATAACACGAAAACAGAAATCAAAATGTACCTCGCTGTAGATTTGGCACTTAAACTTTACTGGAATGAGAGAATGTACAGTGCTCGTCTCGAATCCAGTGTGCACATATATAGGTGCAAGGTTTAAACACCTTTAAGGGTCCTTTATAACAGCTGTAGAATGCATTTGCTGAGTAGAAACGTACAAATATCACGGAATTTTCCATCAATAAAATGTGTGCTCCAACCCCACTGCCAACCCGGCCCAGTGTTATGTTAGGTAGGTAAAGATCGCGGTCAAATGGAGAATTGATTTTGCCCAATGCCCTAAAACCTTTCCTTTAATAAGGGCAGAATGTGCTATATATAAATATACGTGTGTATAATGCACTGTATATATATATATATAAAATACACGTTGTATTCAACCAATATAGGGAAACGATGGTAATCAAGTCAATGCAAACGTGATTTCAATTGCTGCCTTGTCCATCTGCTGTTGGAATCTTTTGTGTGTGAGTGAGAGAGGGGGTGAGAGAAGAGAGAGGACGAGAGAGAGAGATTCAACGCTAAACGTAAACCGAAGAGGAATGAGGTGGATACACAGTTATGGTTGCTGAGCCATAAAATGCAACAGTCAAGTCAATTATTTCATTCGGGGAATGACTAGTGCGAATTTCACAAAAGCCGAGTGATGACGGTATGTGATTATTTTGCACTGACTTGACTGAAAATATCCCTCCCCCCACCCCGACTGATAGAAAGAGAGACTCCGTTTTGCTTGTTTGTGTAGAGATTTATTTTGGCAAAGGTTAGGGAACGGACAAGTGTGGAATTTTTAAATAAACAATGACTTTCTGCGGAAAAATAATGAGGAAATTGGGGAGGGGGAGGATAAAGATTCAAAGGGGATTTCACCACAGGCTTTTAGAAATGAAAATATTTACTTTCGCCACGAGATTAGGATAGACTTTTCAGGCGAGGAACACAGTCTCTGGTGAATGGGGAGGAGGGGAAGGGGGGAGATTCTAGGGAAGCTTAAACCCAATATTCTTAGGTGAGTCACTGGACCTAACCTGGAAAGTCAGATACATCTGTTTAAATAGGGAAGAGGGTGAACTAACAGTAATTAATCTTGCTTTGACATAGCGTCGTATCACGCCGTTGAGACGTCTCAAAGCGCTTCACAAGGTATATTGAAAAGTGGTGTGTGTGTTTGCTTGTGCATACTTTCTGGGGCGAACAGTGTCACAAACTTATCTATGTAGTGTATAAGGTCTCTCTTCAACACATTATTCCCATCAATTTAACACCGAAAGGAACGCGCTTATGTAAAGTTCCCAGAGAGATGGATACAGGATATCTATATCTGTAGTACAATTCTGGGTAATAATCGCAAGGAAATTGAATGAATTCAGAAGCTACTTGGAAGTAAATGTAAGTATAGCATGGCACTGCTGTACGTGTTGCAAATATCTATTTTTTATTTTTTTTATAAAGGGTGTAACGTCTCTTTCTTTTTAAAAAAACACATCCAGAGTATTCTAATTACACTAAGTCTTTAAGGAGTCCATTATAGCAATGTAGATACAAACGGAAGGACAAAACACGTCACACTGTCTTTATATATTATATATATATACTTTCTCTGGTTGTAAGCTGCGACGTGATTTTTGAAGACCTTTTTGGGGTAACTTTTAGATTTCCCGACAAACTAACTCCTCTGAAGTGTTAAAAACACACACAGGCTAAATACAGCAGAAGAGGACACGCCAGGACTGAGCGTGTTAATCAGTGTCAGGCGCCTGTCTGGTGTTTGCAGAGAACCAACCTCTGCGAAACTGGAAAGCGATACTCGCGGATTCCAGGGCTGTTTGGGGTATTATTTTTGGACGCAGCGCAAAATGTTACAAGGACATGGGGATGGTTTGTGATCTGGGCCAGTTTCTTGCCCATTTAAGTTTTCAAATGCTCCTCCGGTCTCGGCAACTCCCTCGTTCAACCTCCCTTTCCTCAAAGCCCCCCCCCCCCCCCCATCTCTGTTTGAACCCATTTCATAACTCGCTAAATGCAAACCTTATGTGTACTGTATATTGGCGCAGGTATTAAATCACTCCCTAATAATAGACAAATGCCCAAATTAGTCAGCTTTAAATCGTTCCATATTTTCCAGCATGGAATTCTTTTGCGCAACGCTGTAGTTTCCGCTTCTCCTCTGCGGAATGTGGGGTTAGGGCGGTGATGGAGCGAGCGGTACAACAACACTCGGGGGAACCGGGTCTGTTCCCGGTAACCGGAAATCGGTAAGTTGTCTGAACAGACTGTCAATCCGCGATGGCGAAGGAATGAAAGCCACAAACACGTACAGTGATATTGGGGAGTGGTGTGAGTGGGGAAAATGTAGTCTTGACCCCCCCCCACCCCACCCCCCACGCCGTAGAAGCGCCTGGACCCCAGTCAGAGCGAGAGGAGGAGAGGCTCTGGCAGAGCAGCGGCTTTACATCACACATGTGCCTGACCCCACCGATAGAAAGGCGATCCGGCCTCTGAACCCGGAAAGCACACGGCCCTTCCCGGAGCCCCGGGTTCCTACATACAACAGCGCTTCTGGTTAATTGACAAGAGATTGCAGGACAGACATCAGAGCATTCCTCAAGCCTCGAGAAACCCCCAACTGCAAACGCTGACTTGAGTTACGGGGCTTGTTGCAACACGCAGTTCTTGCCTACTGTAAGCACTTTTAGATTTACAATCCGGGGGTGGGGTGGGGAGGGGAGGGGGGGGGGGGCTGCTGTGTGCCTCTCTCGTGATTAAAAAGGAATTCATTCATTTTCCATTGTGTCAGCCTTTTCTTCAAAACGCCAAGTCTAAGTTCCATGGGTAGCATAATGTTATTGTGCCTCTTATCCCTGCTCTTATCTCCCCCCCACCTCCCTCCCTTCCCGCGTTTAAATACCTTGTGATTATTTATTTTAGAACCAGTTTCAATGTCAGTCACCAACGGAGCAGTGACACCGAATCTTGGACAAGAAACTAACTAACCGAGCTATCTGACCGAGCGAGAAAAGGCGCACTCACTCCAGAGACCAACGTGAGATTGACAAAGTTTACTTGCAGTAACCAGGTAAACAAAGGTGTGTGGAGTAAGGAGACTTGCCTGAGGTTTGCGAGGTTACATTATGCGTATACTATCAGAAAATGTTCAGCTTCACGGATTATGTCGTTGTATTTTTCCCCCTTAATATCTTCCTCAATAAGCAAGAGAATTGAAAATAGCAATCAATATCACAAGTTGGGAATACGATGGGATTGAATTTCGAGAATATTTGATAATCCTTCCCCACAAAAAACACACACTCACACGTTCAATTTAAAATAATAATGCAGTTGATAGCCCTATTTGTCAGGATTATTAACTACACGCGTTTTTTTTAAACAGATTGCTTACACTAGGCAGAGTGCAAGGCGACAAAAAAACTCGACAACCCCAAATTGTTGTGTATTTATTATTTTCTCCACGCTGTCGGTGTCTGCGGGCCTCTGATTTATTACAGGGGCATGAAAGGGACTTTCCATGCTGGTACCAAACAATGTTTGGTCTATTTACTAATTACCATCCCCATATCAGCTGCTGCTTGGGAATGACTCATGTGGGAGAACTGAAATGAGCGAGGACTGGGACTGGGGGGGGGGGGGGGGGGGGAGAGAGGGAGATAAAGATAACGAGATAGGAGAACGGTATCACCCCTCTGGGAATGAGTCTTGTGGAAGTTCTGGAATGAAATTAAAGGAGAGACAAACAGAGAAGGAGGATGAGAGAGAGGAGAGAGAGAGAGAGGAGCGAGAGATAGAGAGAAGGGAGAAATATGAGAAGGGAACGTGTCATGAGTTGAGTGTTTAATTGAAGCCACGAAAGTCGACACATAACAAGGTTTTTCGGGGAAGTGAACACAAATTGAGGAGCGAGTTGCACAATCTCACTCTCTCTCTCCATTCTCCATTTCATTCCAGTCTCCGGACAGTGAATAGATTGACTCACTCTCTGCTCCTTAAACAGTCTGCATCTAAAAGCACTCACTCCCGTATGGGGTTTGTAGTACACATTGTGACTTGCCACCAAAATAAATGTAACCGGATAACATCGATTTATCTTTTGTTAAAATGTTATCACAACCGCAGCCTTATTGACTAAAATGCGCTCTCGCCTCCCCCTCCCCCCTACCCCCCAACATGTACATTTGTCACTTAACAAAACGATTCGTGTATTTATTTGTCCACACAAATACCTGAGAATATACAGGGGCCATGTAGAGAAACAACTGTGGTTGGTGCTTACAACACAACAATAAACACTCAGTCAGACTTTACTCCACTAATCTAACCTGTGTTCACTAGCACACAGTTTGTCTGGATGGCTTGTAATCTATTTAACCGCATTTAATATTTTGCATGTCTTCTGAAGGCCAACATGGGGCTGACACTCAGTGACCTGAGGTGTTCTTTGGCCTCCTGATGTCACGGGGGAGAGAGAGGGGGAGGGGGGGGTCGATCTATATTCAAATGAATCCCCACAGAAAGGGAAAAAAACTGAAGGTATGGGCAATTCAAATGGCCAGCAACAGGCATGAAATGTTTAGCAATAGGTTTACTTTGGTGGCGATTTGGATCAACGCAATCAATGAACAGTCTTATTTTTGTTCTCTCTCTTTCTCTGGTTTAAATGTAAATAGACAGAGCCATAAAGCGTTCTTCCAAAGCGGGCGCGGGGGGGGATAGTCTCCTTAAGGGGTTCAAAACGTTTCTAACTCAAAGGTATCTCAGGTTGAATGGTGATAGATAGCACCTTTGGCCCAATGGTAAAGGCAGGTAGGCGGCATGCTGTGAGGAAGGCAACGAGCACACACACACCCTACTCGGAGATACTAACAATGAATAAATATTCATGAGCATCACCAATATAAATATTGGTAACAAACGGATTAGTTAGAGCTTTGATCCAATTGTATCCTAATAAAGCCCGCACTAATGGTGTTTGCATGTATTGTCAGGTGTCTCACCAGCTTTGGACTTTAATTAAGGCTTTCGTTTCCCCCCACCTTCTCTATTTAATTTGCTGCTACCTTCGGTGGAGGGGGTTACGTTTGCAAACAAACCTCTGAGCTTGCTGGTATATTGGCGCAATCGCTGCAAAAAAAAATTCCATTAAAGAGTGTAAATAATCACTTTAATTAGGGCGCACGGTACACCTAACTGCACAGGCAATTCAGAACATAGGCAACTGAGTTTATATATGTATTATATATAATATATATATTATGAAGGAGATGACAATCTAACCACTCCACAATCCATGTTTTATCATTAGTTCACATAAAGAAAGGACTGAATAGGTACATAGGAACAGGAGGCCATTCAGCCTCTCGAGCCTGTTCCGCAATGGCTGATCTATACCTCAACTCCAATTACCCGCCTTTGCCCCGTATCCCGTGATACCCTGACCTAACAAATATCTGTCCACCTCAGTCTTGAAAATGTGAATAGATCCAGCATCCACACACAGCCTTTGTGGGGGGAGGAGAGAAGAGTTCCAGATTTCCACTATCCTTTGCGTGGGGAAAAAAAGGGTAATAATAAGGCTATTTGACCGAGTTTGTCTCTTTGACCGAGCCTTCAGCTCCCCTCTCGACTCTCTTCCCCCTCCTCCTCGCTCCCTTCCCTCCCCCTGACCATTTCCTCCCTCCTCGCTCCCTTCCCTCCCCTCCCCCCACCCTGACCATTTCCCCCCTCCTCGCTCCCTCCCTTCCCTCCCCTCACCCTGACCATTTCCCCGCTCCTCGCTCCCTCCCTTCCCTCCCCTCACCCTGACCATTTCCCCCCTCCTCGCTCCCTTCCCTCCCCCTCACCCTGACCATTTCCCCCCTCCTCGCTCCCTCCCTTCCCTCCCCTCACCCTGACCATTTCCCCCCTGCTCGGGTCATGACCCAACTGTGCAGCGCCTTGGGACGTCCTCCTGACGTGAAAGGCGCTTTATAAATGGAATCGTGTTGTTGTTGTTGTTGTTGTATTTAGTAACCGGACGCATTTTCTAATATGGGCGTTACGATTAGAATTCCACTGGAAATAATACAAATTGACGCCTATTAATTGACGCCAAATATAATCTGATTCTCACCCAAAACATTCTAATGTAAGGGGTTTATTGGTTAAGCGCGGCGCTTTCATGTGGATTTCAAATGTTCAAAAAATAATAATTAGGGATTAGTACAGATCTGAAGATTTGGAGGCATCAGATTACTGTAGGAGGCAAGGCACAACGTTGGATTGCAAGGGTTTGGGGGATATCTACACAGTACTATAGAGCCAGTCAGTCAGTCAGTCAGTCATAAGGCTGTCTCTATTCATAGATGTTTCCACACAAGGTATAAATACAGGAACAAACAAGACAGTCATTTTTTAAGTGTATCACATCACATTTCTGGTTCCACTGGACCCGAGACTTTTATAAAATCATCTCTCATAATACAGGCATGTCCAGGTCCAGACATGGGTTGGTTTTTTTGGGGGGGGGATTTAACTTATATGGTAACAAAGGCACTGTTCACTTTCTATGGTTGCGTAAAAGCCCAGTTAATCCGAGTTAGGGATGCGCTACGTTACAGGAAATGAATACAGTAGAACATTAACATCTTTCTACAGTTGGTTCCTCGTGGCGATTGCCAGTCAAAGAAAATATACTTTAAATAATTTAAAGGCTTGGAGAGAGAGAGAGAGAGAGAGAGAGAGAGAGAAAGATTCACAGTGCGTCCATTGAGCGGCCAGAAATCGTGTTCACCTAACCCTGGAAAGAACATTTCTTTCAGCAAATGTTCAGATTTTTTTAGTCTGTCCCCGAGCGCAAGTCAGTCCCAGTGACCCATATTACAAGGTACAGGGGCAAACGACTGCAGTGGTAGATTTTTTTTTCTCTCTCTCTCGTTTTGAAATTCCTTGGGGCGGAGGGGGGGGGGTTGGCAAGAGGAGAAGGGGAAAGAGAAAAAAAACGAGTGATCAAAAATTAACTGCACGCGTGTGGCAGCGATGTGAGCCACACAAGGAGGAGAGAAAGGGAAAGCGGACAATGAGTCAAACTGTTCCATGCAAAATCGTAAAGGCTTCGTTAAGTTTCTAATAGAAATTTAAGACGTTGAGATGTTATCGGTGGTCAATGCTTGGGTGCATTTGAATGGTAATATATATATATATGTACACACACACACACACGAATAAATACGACACAATGGGGTTTAATATAGACACTCAAATCCTGAATTAACTCCCACTCACGACCCCGTTTCTAACTCCGCAGTGAACTCTTTAAACAACACATTGAACCCCCTCCCTCCCTCTCAGCACCCCCATCTTCTGCCGCTCTCCCAAATGATTTTATCTGATCATTCGTCCTAAAGTTATCTAGGGAGATGCTTGATTGCCTTTGATCCAATTAATTACCTGATGGCTCTTGCGTCTGAACGAGCCTCCGAGCTCGGCTGGGGGGGGGGAATCGACTAATGTTGAATTTATGAAACCCGACCAGAAATTGACAGTAAATGGTTGGAAATAAAGACTTGGAGTTTATATTAATGTGCATATTAAAAGACAAGCTGGTAACCCTCGTTTCTGATTGCCAATGTGCGGGGCCTTTGTGAAACTCATTTCACTTGATTCCCCGCCAAGTATTTTTATGAACCTAATCTGGTTTAGGAATGATGAACACACACACACATATTATATCATTTTGCAGTCTGCATCCTCCCGATTAAAATACCATTTCACGTTATATCTTTATCAATTCATGTATTATGTCCAAATTTTCCTACACTGGAAAATACACAGTCGCCCACGGAGGGAAATTTTCAGTCAATTCACTTTACACTATATTCTATGAAGCGCTTTGAGACGTCTCCCGGACGCGATGAGGCGTTATATCAAATGCAAGGATGATTATTATTTTATTATCTCACATTCAGTGGTGGATTGCAAAGAAGGATTGGGTTTTATTGGCCCCAAAACGCTATCAACCAACATTTGACATTTGCATTACTGGTGAGGATCGCTCAAATCAGCAGTTTGGGTAAAATAGAACTGAGTAAGAAACGCTCGCCTTAAGGGTAACAAAAAGAACTGCACTATGCCTTTTTTGGCGCTGAGGTTCAAAGGTAATAAAAATGCAATATAGGGTAAGTTTTTTTTTCTTGGCTCGCGACCAGCAATTCGGAAGAGAACTGGGCATTCATTCATTCATTCAATCATTATGCAGAACACACCCCTCAGTAAGAAAACAAGCTTCAAATGAAATACCACACGCATAAACCAGCCAAGCAGAACACACACACTTAGAAGCTTTGCAATGTCGCTTATTATATCAGCGAGCGAGCGGCTGGTCCTCTCTCTCGCTGCAGTTTATACGTGGAGGCCTTTATTACTGATCACTTGAAGCATCTTTAATAACTAAATAAATAGTAAACGCTGTATGGATTATAATTTCTGCATCAGTTCCTTTTTTTTCCCCGTTCAAAGACAGAGAAAGGGGTTGGGGGTAAAGAATGTACTGAATATTGCAAGCAGAAGGCAGAGAGGGAGGGAGTGGTTCGTGCCTGGAATGTAATTTTCATTTCAGTGCTTTGAGTGAGTTTTGGCTCAAGTCCAACCTCAGCAAAATCCAAACGCGGGGCGGGGGATAGGATGGATAGAGAGGGAGGGGGGGAAAGAGAGGGAGGGAGAGTGGGGGAGGGAGAATATGTGAAATAGGCAATCCTGATCATAAAAAAATCCCAGCGCCAATATTTTGCTAAAACAGCAACTGTTGAAGTGTACAAAACGGTGGCATGTTTGACGCTATAAATGAGAATCATGCACCTTTTAAAAAAAACAATTCCCCCATCGCTTCCCTCTGTATCGCGCGCTGATCCAATGTTGCCCCCCACCCCCACGCTGAGCTTGCGATTTCTGCACATAACGCCACGCTTGTGAAGGTTTAAGCACAGCACAAGAAAAGATGCTTCCCCTAAAGGGTTAAAACATTCTTGTTAAAATATTATGTGAACACCCATCATCATCGCCCCCCCCCCCCCCGGCTCACAATGCGGGGCTCTTGGGAGCCAGTACTTACTGACACAGGGACAAGCTACACGGTTTGGTCGGAGCAAACACAACAAAAGGCGCAAATACAATTAAATGAGTCTACGTGTTTTTTTCGCTGCGTAAACTAACGCGCGAGAGGATGTAGAAAGCTCACAAACCGACGCAAAAAACGTTTTCGCAGAAAAACACACACATTCTCTTTGTCTACCCCTTGTGTTTCTCTGCGGTGGGAAATCGACCTTCAGACAGACAGACGGACGGCGAGTTGTGGTGGAGAGGGATTGCCTTTGGAACGCATTCCCTTCCCTCCCACCAACACACAGAGCTCCGGGATCTCCTGCTCGCTCCCAGCCGTGTCTGGAGCACCCCCGCGACACACACTCAATGGAATCACTCCCTCCCCCTTCCCTCTCTCTCTCTCTCCCACAAACCTATCCTGTGGTCACATGCTCCCCCGCGGGGGGGCTATTGGGTTTTAAAACATCCCCCCCCACCCCCCTCCCCACCACGGTTTGTCCTCCCGCACTTTCTAAATCCTCAACGCAAAACCAAAGCTGCTTTTAGCGGCTTTGTGACTTTTAGTCTTATTTATCTCGGTCTTCCCAGTAAAAAGCAAACGCATTGCTGAGTGTGTGTGTGTATATATATATATATAAATAATAAAACACAGACAAAGCTCAGCCATAAGTACTTGGCATCGTCCTTTTTCTGGTTGTGCACGAGTTAGTCAGTGAGGGAGTGAGGGAGTGAATGTGTGAGTGAGTGAATTTAGTTGGTGTTGGGTCGGGATCGTGATTTATTTATAATCGAACTAAGATAAAAGCGAATGAATTAGTTGGAAACTTGTTTTTGTGGTCCGGGGGCTGGTGGGGGTGACGGGGGGAAACGGGACGGGCGATGGAATTGGGATATGTCAGTCTTACTCGATTGCCAACAGCGCAAACAAACTTTCCTACGGTTTTAATTGTCCCGGATTCGAATGCAGATTTAATGGGTGAGGGGGGAAGGGGGGGAGGATGGGGGTGAGGGGGGGTAGGGGGGAAGGGGGGGGTGAGGATGGGGGGATTGATCGAAATCTTAAAACGATTTTAAAAGCCTAATCACATTGTGTAGAACCCGTTTGGAAATAAATTGTATGTGTGTTGTGTGTATTTTCTCTTCTCTCTTTCTCCCTTGCCCGTGTCTAAATGAAATTAATTGCATTTAGAAACCCGCCGTTGGGTGGGGGAGGGAGGGGGGGGGGGTTCCGGCAGCAGACAGCTTTGCGTGGTAATTCTAAAATAATTATAATTATTTTGTCCATCAAGCTGTTTCAAATCATTGGCGATGGATGGGCTTGTGGCTACGTCGGGACAACAAATCAAAGGGTGTGTGAGTGTGTATGTATGTGTGAGTGAGTGAATGTGTGAGTGGGGGGAGGGAGAAACCAGACCAACAGACCTTTCTTTCTTTGTGTGAAGCATTTGCTTATGATTACTATTATTAAAGGCGTCATGTCACTGTCGCACACTGCCTCAGCCCAGCTCAGGAAGCCAAAAAAAAACACGAGTTAAAGTGACGACTCTGTGCCTGGTAATCTCGTGCTTTTTTTAAAAAAACACTCATTTAGGTAAAATTATAGGCACAAAAAAGTCAAGACACACATACCAATCTCTGTTCTAATACTATGCAATCTCTCCCAGAAACTATTTCGCCTAAATATTTAGAAATGCCTAATACTTTCTGGAATTAGGCAAGTCGGATGCATCTCTCCAGAGAGAGAGAGAGAGAGAAAAAGAGAGTGCACATTCCATTCCAACAATCTATCTCTGGGATTTCCATGTGAATGTGGGGATGCATGGAAATCTCAGCTGGGCTTGAAGACTCTTAAGCAACGGTGATGGATTTCCGCATGTGTTGGACACCCGGCTGAGTAAAAAACATTCTGCTTGGAAACCCAGCTTGAATTATAGATCGGTGGGGGCTGGAATTTAAACCGATGGGAAATGTATTTAATGTGAAAGTTTTGGAGCATAGGTGTGTGTGTGTCTGGGGGGGTGGGGTGGAGGGGGGGGGGGGGGAGAGTCCTTGTTTAAAATGTATTTAATTCCCTTCCACTCCCTCCTTCCCACCCATGAACTTCACTTGCATCATTTCACCTACAAAGTATACAGTCGATTCACTTTACAGTATATTCTGTGAGGCGCTTTGAGACATTTAGAAGATGTGATAAGGCGCCATATCAAATGCAAGGATTGTCATTATTATCGTCTCCCGCTTTCAGTCGAACTGCATTGAACAGGAATATAGGTTAAAGGTTTCACACAGAGCTTACATACAGTATTGCCACACTTTCCCACTGCATTAGCATTCGCTTCACTACTACAGTACAGTTGGTTGGAAGAGGTCTCATTCTGTTGACTCAGCTGTTTAAAAAAACACACACCCTCTGCGGTCTCAGAATCGGCAGTTTTCCCCATTTCCATTAGATAGAGAGATTATCAAATCTATCTGCGCGCCTGATATTGCAGTGCAACCAGGAAATAGAGCGGGGTGGGGGGGTCACTTTTTCTTTCACGTTGTGTGTGTGTGTGTAGCAGCCAGACATGCAGCGAATAAACACGCTCACAGTGTGGGGAGGAATATAAATGTTACTGTCTGGAATGCACTGAATCATAGACTCACAGAATCGTACAGCACAAAAAGCGGCCATTCGGCCCATCAAGTCTCTGCGGCTCTTTGAAAAGAGCGATGTAGTGTCAATCCCACTCCCCAGCCCTTTCCCCATAACCCTGCAAACCCGTCCTCCTCTAATACCCGTCCGCCGCCTTTTTAACGCGTTTTCACTGCCTGAAAGGGTGGTGGAAACAGATTCGATAGTAGTTTTCCCAAAGGGAATTGGATATGTACTTGAAAAGGGAAACATTTGCTGGGCTATGGGGTAAGAGCAAGCGAGACTAGTTCGCAGCTTTTCCAAAGAGCCGGCCCAGGCATGTGGGCCGAATGGCCTCCTTCTGTGCTGTAAGATTCTATTATTCTATGATAACGGGGAGGGGTAAGGGTAGTGGGGGGAAGGGAGACTGAGAGAAAGAAACTTGTCCTCTGGTTTCAATCGTGCATCCTCGCTTTAAGAGTGGGAGGTTGTTCATTGTAATCCTGGGTGTTGGGGGAATAGGTCTGCAAGCTGTTCCTCCCATCTCACAGCCCTCCCTCCCTCCGGGAAGCAGGGATCAGAAGGGTAGAGGACATGATTTGCACCGTCATATATTTATTTCTCCCCCCTCACCCCCTCCCCCCCCCCCCCACCCCCTCCATTAACAGATTCGAGGCGATTTATAGATATATCTCCGGATTCTTGTTTGCAAAAGGCGAGGCTACCTATTTTTTTATATATATATATATATATATACCACCCTTCCTCTCTCCCTAAATCCGTTAAAGCATTATTGTTACAAAGATTTTGTTGATTTGCAGCGATGTGGGGGAGAGAGAGAGAGAGAGAGAGGAAAGGTCGCTTTCATTGTCTACACACACATCAAAGCTGCTTTGGTCAAGATTAAATGTGACCTTTTTTTCCCCCTCTCAATTGAAGCTTTCTAAATACAGTTATAAGCAAATGGCTCCAGTGTTACCAGCTTTGTTGTTTTTTCAGGTTCAGCAAATCGCCGTGCTGGAGAATTTGCTGAGACGTTTCTCAAGGGCACGCTGGAGAGAAAAGATTTATTTTCCAATCTCCACATGAACACACCAACAAGACAGACAGATCGAGCTAATCTCCACCCAACCCTCTCCAACCCTGTTATTTATTTGCAAGAGGGTAAGTGCTCTTTCTTCGGAAATTGGAAGCGGGGCAAAGGGAGAGGAGATTTTTATATATATATATATTATGTGTATGTGTGTATATGCGTGCGGATGTGTGTCTGTGTTGCTTTTCTGTTTAACACGGGGGAGGGAGGAGGCGAGAGGACATTAACCCACCCATTGGTAATCTGCTTATTATACTGTTTTAATGCGCAACTCGAGGCATTGCAATTCTTATCGCATCGATCGAGCCGAGCTGAACTGTCTGTCCGTATTCAAGACACATATGGGGACTCGTTTTATATATTTTTTTAATCTTCCGTCGCTCCTGTTATCTATATACCCGCGTGCCTCAGACGCACGGATAGATAACGTTAGATTATCTTTGCGAAACATTTGCAGCGGTATTATGCGATGGTCAACATTCTGAGGGGATGTTTGGAAAATCTTTTATTCCTCCCCCAACAACATTTTTTTTAAAAAATGAGGGGAAAACCATCTCTCTCTCTCTCTCACACACACAGCCATGTATCTGAGAGCTGATTGACATTGACGTTTGGGGAATTAGGAATAGAGTTACGTTTGGCGTTCAGTTAATCAGTTCGATGGAGCGGACAGACAGATGAGGAGAGAGAGAGAGAGAGAGAAGGTAAAAAAAAGCAGAGCCATCCTTTGGGGAAAGAGCTCATGGCAATGGCGAGGAATCTGAACACCAACATTGTATTAATTCCAATATGAATTAATAAGTTACTATTATACACAAGACTGAAGCCAAACCTATCTTCTCTCTCTCTATTTCCTCTATTCACACACACACACACACACACGTCCAGTGCATAGTTTTGCGACCATCAATGATTTCGCTACACACACACACACACACACAACCACCAACAGACAAATCACGCATTCTATCAAAACAAACGATTCATAATTCAAGATAAACGAACCCAGAGAAAGCCGCGGGAGAGCAGTACGCGGGGAGGAAAATGTCACTAAGTTAAGATACACCCAGCCTTGCTTTACCAAGTCCTGCAGATGTTATGTTCATCTTTTTAAATATATATATATATAGTAAAACTTGCATTTGATACAGCGCCTAATGAAGTCGGCGAGACGTCTCAAGGCGCTTCACAGAATAGATTGTAAAGTGAATTTGGTGGCCGTAATATATATATATATTTATTAAAGATAAATAAATATCAAGAGTAAAGATGATTTGATTGAGCCCCATGTATGTAGGTATGTGGGATTTTCAATCCTCGAGATAGGAGCAAAAGGAACCGCCGTGTTTCCCCCATTCACAAAAGAGCGGTTCCTTTATTATGATTATAACCCGAGAGCCGAGAATTACAGCGGATCTTAGCGGTTCTCACACATACAGAGAGAGGGAGAGGGATGAGTCTATGTTTGATACGTGGGCTGTTCAGTCAGTCCCGGGCACGAAAAACAAATGATTATTTAGCTTTCAAACACGCTCGTGGCTTTACATTTATTTAAATGTTATTTATTTTGTTTTACTCGATTTAAGTTTACGTTTGGAATGTACATACAGCGCACCGTTGGAAGGGAGAGAGAGATCCAAGAACGACGTGTTCCTCTTTCAGGCTTTAAAGAAATTGGATTTTTACCCACGGAAGGTGTGCAGTGGAGATGGGGGAATCGGTGTTGGGCTGAACTTACGCTGAAGCCGAACCAGAGAAAGTGAACGTATTGCTTGTCGGGTGGCAGGAGAGACCGAGGGTACAAAGCGCTTTAATGACAGACTCTCTTCCTACTTCATTTGACCCGCACAACACAACAAAACGGGGGGATTCGCTCGTTCAAAGGTAGGCCCAGTGAAACAGCACGGAGGACATTTGTGTGCGAGTGAAATAAAAGCGAGAGAGCATTTTCACACACAAACCCGAGGACTGAACCACTTACTGAGCTGACAATAAAAGGGCGAAACCCGAGGCAAGTTTCCCTCCTCCACACGCCTCTATTTACCCGGTTGTTAGTCGATTTGCGGATCGCTTTTCCGGGGATAATAATCCCTTCACAGGAAAATAAAATTAAAATAATAATGATAATAACTCGGTCACCCAATCCACCCCTGTTTCTGGGACACTGCTGTGCACATTTGACTGTCGCGCTTCTCCCACAAAAGATTACGGTTACTAATTCACTTCACATAATATTTCTTGAAGTGCTTTGAGACGTCTCGAAGACGTAACAAGGCAAAAACCAGACACAAATATATTATACACACCCACACATATATAATATATATATATACAGTGCTAAGTTGCAGAATAGGCAGAGAAAGAATCCAGACCGGAAAGACAGATTGGAATAGAGGGAGAATTGAATGAGATTGAAATCGATCAGTGCTGAAATCCGACAACAAATAAACAGTGAATGTAAATAAATATAATGCGGTGTTGATCAAAGACCAGAGTTACATTCATCAATCGCGACTTTTACTACGGTTAAAATGATTTTCATCTCCTCTAGTAACTGGTTAATATTAGTCACGCGTCCTTTACCAAACCATGTGGAAGCAACACTCAATGACAGTAAACTATTATTCGGATGTTTGCAAATCCGATTTAAAAAAAGGTGAGAAGAAAAGAGCCATCAAATCCCGCGCGAATAATTCCACCAAAAAATAGTACTTAATATGATTTAATAAACGCCACTCTTGTTTTTTCCTCCTGAAACTGTTGATATTCAGTTGTTCGGTGAAGAGACCCCCCCCACACACCCCCACCCACACACACACCCACACACCCCCCACACCCACACACACCCCCACCCACATACATACCCCCACACCCCCACACACACCCACACACATACACACACACACACCCACACACAATCGGACTGGACAATAAATTTGCCAAACACAATTAGACCGTTTTTAAATCGACCATTTACAGTCTCGGTTTCTCCCTCTCTCTGTCTCTGGCTCTGTCTTCTTGAACAAATGTCAAAAATCGTATTTCACCCCCTGAACCGATGAAGCTATCAATTAATTCCCCCCCCCCCCCCCCCCGGGAAAATAAAACCATGGCATGTCAGTGTGATGTACCGAGTATCGTGGTTTAATGGTATTATTAAGAAGCTTTTAAACTTGCTTTGAAAACCGAATGTTCAGCCTCGAAAAAGGATGCATTAACATTGGTTTATATACCGCTCCTGTATTATATCTACCCACCCAGTCGCGGGTGTGAAACGTATTTGCCCGTATTGTAATCCTCCCGATATAGTGGGTCTATTGTACAGAGCGTCTCATTGTTAATCCGGTGTATATAATATAAATATATATATATATATTCAAGTGCCTAACCCTCTCTGTCCTGTGTGTAGGAGTCAATTTACTGTGTTAAATCCAGTCTCACTTGTCCTCTGTATTGTGCAGGTTTCCGTAATAAGCGCGGAAAATTCTTTAGTCCCATTTGCCTACCACCACATTACTCCCAGGCTATTGCAGTCTACTCATTCTTATTGCTGTGTACATCACCCAGTGGACACGCCGAGCCAGTCCATATACCAGTCTCTATGCAGATCAAATGGCACTTTGCACCAATATTTGACTACATGCAGCGCTTTCTCTCCTCCCTGTAATATCCCAATTTAGAACCAAATCCCACTCATTTTCTTCATAATTCGCCTGTCCGAGCTAGCGGTCGTATTAGGACCAGACTCCACGGTGTACGCCCCCACCCCAGAGGTCCCAACCTTTATTTCACCGACTCTCACGCACACATTGTGTCTTACTTGATTGGTATTTTAAGAGCAAGTCAGATTCCCTTAAAACGTCAAGCTCTCAGGACTCAACTTGTTGAGAGCTCCTTTAGCCACGTTCCAAACTTAGACCCATCTAAGTCAGGGGCAGCTGCTGGCGAGTGTATACCACCACCCCCCAACCTCGGTGCAAAGATAAAATCCCTTAATGCAGGAAAAAAAATCCGTGTCAAAGTGTGACATTATCTATACCAGGCAACGTCCCTCTCAAAGCAAAAGCCACGAGGTTCGATTCACGAGGTGTATTGATTAACGCATTTATAACGCGAAATTGGAACTGGAGCAATGATATAGAGATGAATTATCCCATCGTTTTTCGTGATGGGTTTCCTTGTGATTTTTTTTATCACCAGATCCCAGATATGAAACGCTGCAATTTGCACCCCAACAAAGTAACAAAGTACAGACACCTAATGTAAGTAAAGCCAGTGAGATCATTCCTTCTAGTTGAAGACCATTAAAATCCTTCACCTCCCAGTATATCTAGTCGTATAAAGTCTGGAGCAGTCAGTCATTTCAGAACGCATGGTATGACGAAGGTAACTATAGGTACATTGGGATTAAATAATTGACTGTTTCCCACCAGTGAAATCTAACATCCGGCACAGATAGAATAACATCTATATCCCCAACTACATAAAGGCTAGCTATTTAGAAACCTTCACCAGATCCGAAATACATGAATGGAACTGATGCAGAGAATTCTGAGGACCTAGTGCATGTTAAGGGTGATTAATATAGGAGAAAAACAACAAAATGATGAAAAGCTAACCTTTCTTTTTCTTTCAAGTGCTGATTGGCACTTCTGTAAATTCCCAGTGTTTGGCCTTCTTGTGACACACACGTGTGTTTGTACAGCGAGACAGAAATGGGGGGGAGAGAGAGAGGGGGGGAATAGATATAAGTTTAATTATAGTGGGAATAATTCATCTTATCAGTGATGAATTTTACTGTGCGTCAAAAAAATGAGAGGTTGATGATCAATGAGGTGCCTTTGTTTTACAGATGGCCTTCAGCTTGCATTCAACAAGAAGCTGATGAGAGAGAGAGAAAGATGGGAAGCGAGGGAGAAAGATGGTAAGAGAGAGTGAGAGAGACGGTGAGAGTGAGAGAGTCTGTGAGAGTGCGAGAGAGAGAGAGAGAGACGGTGAGAGAAAAAACAAGATGGAGTGAGAGAGAAAGAAGAATATAAGAATTTGCTAGGCGAAAGACCAAGGTCCATCCAGTTAGCCTTCCAGCATCCTTGCAGTTGCATTTCATGTCCTGTCCCAAATTATAGAGATGGAGAGAGAGAGAGAGAGATGGCGAGAGAGATGGTGTCTGAACTATTGCTGTCAGGACAGCCTGGGCTTGCAGAGCAGAGCTGCTCTGTGCCATTAATGAAGGCAGCAGGGTATAATTAAATAATTGACTGTTTCCCAGAGGACCCCCGAGCCGCATCTGTCCCCCTGGTACCACAGGGAATCCTAAACAATACAGAGAAGACACAGACTGCAGGAGAAGCCAACTGATAGCAGGTTTGGGAATTTTGAGGGATGGGGAATGAATAAAATATATATATATATATATAAAATAAGAAAAAAATCTAGTGTTTTTTTAAAAAATACGCAGTCTTGTACTAATCCTTGCATTTGATATAGTGCCTTATTGGGTCGTGGAGACATCTCACAGAGTATACTGTAAAGTGAATTGACTGTGTATATTGTGGTCTTGTACAATGGAGACCTTGATATAATTAATGAGTATCTTTGAAGATATTAATTGCCTTTTTTTCTTTCTTAAAAGTTATTTTGATCTGTTTCACTTAACTTTCAGTTGCCAAAAGTATATTACTCAGTTTGAAATGACATTAAGTTATTGCCTAGTTTCATTTTATTCGGGCGTGGGGAAGAGGGGAGAATAAGTTTGCCAAAAAGTACATTTCAGTATTCAACTTGCAATTAAAATATTGAACAGAAATTCACTCTCAATGGAGGAGCTATTTCACAGATTCCCTCCGGCTCTGTGCGCGCGTGTGTGTATTTACATTCCATTTCCCTCAATGTTTCTGGAATATATAACAACAAAAATAAAAAATTAAGTTGGTATTGCTTGCCTGCATCTGTCTGATTTCACTTTTCACCAAAACATAAACCCCAAATGCTTCTTTCTCCCTGAAAACTCAGCGCCCAGTGGAAACATACGTTATGTGCCAGGAAAGCCAGTTGGTATCAGAATAGATACACATACATACTCAGCCTTATACAGTTCCTGTTCCCCTTTCAGCCCCTCTCTCCTAACGCCAGTGTTATAACCAGGCCACCTTACAATCAACAAAAGTAAAAGCTAAAAGGCCACATTGTGAAAACATTGCTTGAGACGATTATGATTGGCTTTGAGCCAGGTCACACAGATGTAGTCTGGTTAGAGCTGAATTTTTAAGCCATTGTTTTTTTTAAAAAAAATCTTGTATGTTACAAAAAAGGCAGGATTAATTACAATAATCTCCATGATAAAAAAATGGCTATTTCTGATCTGGTTTCACCATTCACAGGACGACAACAGCCTTCAAAACGCGCCTTTATACAATTACAGACACCTTATTCTCTTGTTATTAAGAGTCTGTTGGAAAGTCCCAAAAGGTAGAAGTGTAATAATAATCCTGGCATTTGATAGAGCGCCTCATCACGTCGTTGAGACGTCTCAAAGCGCTTCACAGGATAAACTGTAAAGTGTAGTGACTGCGTATTTTACAGTCGTAAACGAGTCGGAGATAAACGGCACTATACACCCATCTCTCTCTCTCCAGCTTCGGATTTGGGAACTTTTTTAAAAAAGAACTTCCAATTGAATTTAACTCCGGAATATATATATATATATAAAAATAAGAGAGACGCGTAAGAAATTGGTCGAAAAAAAGAGCTTGGAGGGAGAACAGTTCTGGTTACCTCAACCCACAGAGGCGCCTGAGAAACAGCTGTTAGTCTTATAAGCAGGAAAGCAGCATCAGTCACACAGCTCCGGGAAACCGAGAGGTTTGTGTGACAGTAAAGTACATCTGCAACAGCGGGAACATTGATATATATATATATATATGTCACACACACGGAAACGCGAACACTCTGGACTAAAACAGCCCCTTTCACCCAACGCTTTGGGATGTCCTCCCGACATGAAAGGCGCTACATAAATGGAGAGACTGTACTATACACAACCTCACGGGACTCGAGAGCTGGAATTATCCCTATGTCATTTGTGGTTGTTGACAAAACAGTGATGATCCCATCATTACAATTGGCTCCTGTGACCCATCTTAACCGGGCGCACCTTTCTCGTGTGTGAATTCCTGCATGGGTGGGAGGGTAAAGAGAGGGAGAGAGAGAGGAGGGAGGGTAAGACAGAGAGAAAGAGGGGAGAGGGTGGAAAGAGAGAGAAAAGAGGGAGAGGGTCAGAGAAAGAGAGGGACAACCCAGCTCTCGAGTCTCCCAAGGTTCAGTTTAGTATAGTCTCCCCCGGGGTTGTGAATGACACTTGAAACTTTAAAAAAACGGACCAGTTTATTTTTCCAGATCCCCCACCCTCACCCACAAAAACAATGTGACCAAGTTGGGTATAAAAGCTGAGCAGAGAGATAGGGCTGTTAATTTACGGTAAAGCTCAGGGAAGGGAGATCCTAAGTACCTATAGTCAGGTGCCGTTTGATTTTGTGGGTAAATATATAAAGTATTTCACTGGGGTTCATGTCGGCCGCCACTCAATTCAACTCTACAGTCTGGGGAATAGCGAGAGTTTAGGCAAAATAAATGCAACCCCCCCCCCCCCCACACACACACACACACCCACACACACACACACCGGCCCCGACTGACCGACCGACTGAGCACCAAATCCAAAGTGTTAGCGATCGTTTGTGTGTGAAGCGCTTCAAGAACTGACTCCCAACAAAATACATCACTGAAGGAAGTATTAAGGGGTGACTTTTGGCAGTTTTCCCTTCCAATAAACAAAAAGCATCCAAGGTTACATACTCACTGGGTTGGTTTTTGTTGGTTCCTTCTTCGCTGCTTCTTGAACCGGAGCAAAGGGTTACGATTCCACGTCTGGACCGTTTTGCAAACTGGACATGGACAATGGACGTATAGTATGGCAGAGGGGAGGAGGGAGAGAGGGGGGGAGAGAGGGGGGAGAAAGAGGAGGGAAGAGAGGGGGGGAGAGAGGAAGGGAGAAAAAAGAAACCCCGCACACAAGTGAGTTATGCCGTTAAATGCTAAGCGTTTCAATTATTAATTGAATACACTCCAATGTGTCAGAGAAAGTAAATTGTTCCAACGATTTCTGGGGTTATGAAATTAACCTGGCGTGTCAATACATAGCATCCCGTGTGTGTGGAGAGAGAGAGAGAGAGAGGACCCATCAACATGCAAAAGTTTATAGCTCCAATTGTCAGCCAAACACACTGCCCTGGTAAAGAAGGGATGAGCTGACTACCCGACACACCAGAGCAACTCTTATGGTCTTGTGTTGTGAGCAGACGCACTGGTCATGTGGAAATTGGTGACCAGACCTTTCAATATGTGGCTATAGCGGCAGGAGGTGTAAGGACCTAAGTCTGTTTGGTGATTGACCACCTGAAATACCTACTGGAGAATGGACCAAAGTGGTGGAGGTAGGCTGCCTGGGATTCCCCTCCACCCTTAGTGGAACAGCCTGACAGTACCCATGACACCAGGACCAAATGATCAATTTGAGAAAACGACTGAGGGAGGGGAGCCTGGGCAGCGTTGGAACCATCATTTATTTAAGGAGGAGGAAGGAGAGTTAAAATGGCTTTGGGAGAGGAAGGGTGAGGAAATCTGAGGCAGGATAAGTCAGTCGGCTGGAAAAGATCGAGGATTCGCATCAATTTGGGGAGCCAGACTGCAGCTGTGGGCACATCTGTATGCCTCAGAAACCCATGTTCAAAAGAGTGTCAATATGTCACACACACATCCAACCCAGCGTGAAACCAGCGTTTATACCACGACCCCAGATCGCGCTGAACTTGACTCCAGAAGGACTATGTATCTAGGACACCAGGTTTGAGTCCCCGAGCTAACTCTCGAAGCAAAGTTAATTGGCCACAGGTTTGGGAGAGAACATCTGTGAGCATCTGGCGGTGCTGCCAGACAGAACATTCTATTGGAGGGGGAAGGGGACAGATGAGTTGAGGAACAGAGGGCCATACTGTTTCACTCACATAGCCTTGAATTTCATTCTAGTGGCATTGAGTGTCACCTGAACATACCCGCAACTGACAATGGCCTTCCCTTGTAGATACAGCAGGAAACTAAAGTCAACTTCAGATTTTTTTTGATGAATTAAAAATCAGGCAAATGAAGCAGAACGAGAAATAATAATAAAGAAGAAATGATAATAATAATCATGAACAAAAAGCCCAAGTTATGGGATGCATTACAGCTGTACAGAATCCTGATCATCTTGATCATTTTATAATAATTATAATCCTTGCATTTGATATAGCGCTTTTCACATCTTCTCAACGTCTCAAAGCGCTTCACAGAATAGACTGTAAAGTGAATTGATTGTACATTTGTGTGCGAAACGCGGCAGCCAATTGCGCACAGCGGTGTCCCACAAACAGTCGTGGATTGAAGTGATCAATTTATTATTGTTTTTTTCTTGAGGGATTATTATCAGACGTGTGAAGTAAGAAACCTGCCCAAGGTTTTGCCCTGCCAGGAATCGAACCCAGGTCTCTCGCTTACGAGGCGAGTGCTCCAACCACTGAACTACAGGACTTTGAAAGACAGAATTGCTTTACTATTGGGAAAGCTTTCCTGGTGGGCGGGCCCAGACAGAAATCATTGATGGCCTGGTTTTCAATTCATAAAATAAACTGATCCCAAATTGACAAGTGGATGATTGTGCCAGACCTGCCCAGCCTCAGACAAACAGAGAGATAGAGAGAGAGAGAAGTGATCTTATCAGAGATGACCTGAGAAAGCCATGCTGGCACTGATGGCTTAGCTGGAGCAGATCTACTGCTGATCACCCAAATCACTACACACACGATTCAGAGGAGTCAGAACAGTTAAACATAATGGAGTTCTTGACCTCAAAGCTAAATGATTGAGGCCCAAGTCAGAACAGCACTGGCTGTGACACGGTCAGTGTGAACAGTTTTGCCTCTTTTTCCACATACACACACACACACCTCTCCTCCCCTTTCACAGTCACATCTCTATGGTAAGGTTAACACTAATTATAGCAGCTCCAGTGTTAAGGCAAATGAGTTTTGTAACATGCACAAAATGCACTTTTAAAAGGTTACTTTTGCAACAATAAACAGTGCGTACTGTTTTAAAAAAAACAAGAGGCGAAGTGAGTGGAAATGATTTAATTGTATTTATGCAAATGTGCAAAGCAGTCAATAAAAAAATGAGAAAAAAAAGGTCCGTTCAGCATTTTTTTATGCAAGGGCAGTAATGTATAAACAAAATGGTTGTGTTGAACAGGCTGGGGAAGGTGATTGAAGGGCTCCCTTGAGGGATGTGAATGTCATAGAATCTTGCAATATCACTTACGTGAAATTTAATATGAGGCAATACTTCAGCATCCAAATGGGATTTAGGCTTATGAAAGCAGGGTCTGTGTACAATCCTAGCCAGCCAACCTTGTTATGTGCGTGGCTGGTTTGATTGCACTTCTATACTAGCTGAGAGGAGGTTTGCACATAGTGAGAGTTATTCAGAATCAGCCAGAGCAAATTAACCCATAGTGCATAGAAAGTCATTTGCAGTAAACAGCGGAAGAAATCCCTTTGCAATCATATCACATCAGCAACATTGATTTTCTATAAAGTTCTCACACTGATTATTAAAAAGTTAAATGAAAGGACAATAAAACCTGCTGAACATATTTCTAATGCATAATTCCAAATAAATAAAAAATTGGTCACTCATACCATGACTGTTTGTGGGGACGCTGCTGTGCACAATTGGCTGCCACATTTCACCCACAAAATATACAGTCAATTCACTTTACAGTATATTCTGTGAAGCTCTTTGAGATGTGTCGATGATGTGATGATGCGCTATATTAAATACAATGA